AAGTGGCTAGCGACAGGAATGTTGCTGAGAATGTTTCGGGTCAACAGAGAAGTATCATTGGGATTTCGACTTCAAAATCAGAGTTGGACGTCTCAAAGGTTACTACCGAGAGTACGGGTTTTCTCAATGGAGTGACAGTTTGTGTTGGAAAAGATTTGCATTTCAAATTGAATAATGATTCAGCCGTAGCTTTGCTTAAAGAGCTTCGGCTATTTACTTCAGTTAAAGGTTTGAGCAATTTTTCATCTGAGCATGAGGAGTTTTCAGTAATCCCATCCAAAGAAGTTAATGCTTCGGAAATAGAGGGGATTTTACAGGAAGGAGTGGTTGATGTTGCTTTTCAGCAGCACCCTTTTAACGCATCTTTTTCCGGGACAGATCCTGTTCACGATGAAGTGGACTTTATGGAACCTTTGGCTGTTGTGCGGCCTGATTGTTTGGAGACAACCACTGATCTGGGCATGGAATGGGTCATTGAGAATATTGGAGCAGTTAGTGAAGCTTTGGGTGTCTCTGCAGAAGGTTATGAGGAACAAACCCTGTGTATTCTCCACGAAATTATTGCAGGAAATGGTAGCAGTGAACCAATTCGTGACACAAAAGAAGTCAAAGTCAGAAATTCACATCGGAAAGGCGAACAGGAAATGAAGAATTTGATTTCTTGTGTTAACTACGATGGAAAGAATGGGTCAACCAAAGAAAGGGGGAGAACCAGGAGTGGTAAAAGGGGAGGAGGTGAATTGATTGTTTTTGGTTCTTCATGAAGCTACGACTTATAACATGGAATGTTCGTGGTCTTAATGACCCGAAAAGAAGAAGAGTTATCAAGGTCGCTTTGAGGAAGTGGAGTGCTCATGTTGTCTGCTTACAAGAAACTAAATTGGCCGATATTACTGTTGAGATTGTCAGGAGTCTTTGGGGAGGTAGGTTTGTGGACTTTGAAGTTTTAAATGCAACAGGCACTTCAGGTGGTATTCTCCTCATGTCGGATCGTAGATGGTTGTCAAGTTTGAACTGTTGGAAGGGTATTTTCTCGGTGTCATGCATGTTTCAGATGGAAGAAGACAATTTCAAATGGACGTTTTCAGGTGTGTATGGGCCTGTTACTGATAGTGATAAACCAGTCCTGTGGGAAGAGCTTTGCTTTGTTAAGGACTTATGGTCATTGCCTTGGTGCTTAGGTGGGGATTTTAATTCTGTTAGATCCCCATTTGAGAGATCCACAGGAGGTAGGTGGTCTTCAGAAATGACCATGTTTTCAGAATTTATTGACAATAATTTTCTTATCGATCTTCCATTGGAAGGAGCGGCTTTTACTTGGTCTAATGGTAGGGAACCGGTTACTTTTTCTCGATTGGATCGTTTCCTGATTTCTGGGGCTTGGGAAGAGCATTTCCCGGATGTCTCTCAGGCTGTGTTGGTTAGAGTCACATCTGATCATGTACCTCTTGTTTTGGATTGTGGTGGTTTGAGGTCTAGACGCACTCCTTTCAGATTCGAAAACATGTGGCTTAGATCTGAAGACTTTCAAGGGAAGGTTCAGTCTTGGTGGCAAAAAGGGTCTTTCACAGGCTCTGCTAGTTATGTGTTAGCTAGAAAGCTTCAGTTTCTTAAAACTGAGCTTAAGAGATGGAATAAAGAAGTTTTTGGGAATCTTGAATAGAAAAAGAATAGAGCCCTTGCTGATATTGTTGAGCTTGATCGTTTAGCTGAGGTGGGACAAAGTAGGGAGTCTTTACGCTCTCAAAGAGCCTCTTGTCAAGTGGTTTTTGCTGAGATTACTCATATGGAGGAGATTTCGTGGCGTCAAAAGTCTCGGGCTTTGTGGTTAAAGGATGGTGATCGGAATACAAAATTCTTTCATATACTGGCCAATGCTCACAGAAGGTGTAATCATATCGGACGTATTCAGGTTAATGGTTCTGATTTGTGGAGAGAAGAAGATGTGCGCGGAGGAATTGCTTCTTTTTATCAGCAGCTTTACACTGAAACTTTGGATCGAAGACCTATTCTTGATGGTCTTCCATTTAATACTATTTCTGCGTTGGATAGGGATAGTATTGAGATTCCATTCACGGAAGAGGAAGTGCTTAAGGCACTTTCTAGTTGCAACGGGGACAAAGCACCAGGGCCAGACGGATTTACTATGCGCTTTTTTAAGGAGAGTTGGGAGGTGGTGCGAGAGGAGGTGATGAGCACTTTTCAGGATTTTTATTCTCATGGCACATTTGAAAAATCTTTGAATGCATCTTTTATTGCTCTCATCCCTAAAAAGGGTGGTGCATCTGATATCAAGGATTTTCGGCCAATTAGCTTAATCGGATGTATGTATAAGCTTATTGCCAAGGTTCTTGTCTCCAGGATGAGTAAAGTGTTGGATGGTCTTATCTCAGAATCGCAAAACACTTTTGTTGGTGGAAGGCAGATTTTGGATTCTGTTCTTATTGCTGGGGAATGTGTTAACTCTAGATTAAGAAGTGGGGTTTCTGGCGTTTTGTGTAAGCTTGATATCGAGAAAGCTTATGATCATGTTAATTGGAAGTTTGTTTTGTATCTTCTTCGGAGGATGGGATTTGGTGATAGATGGATAAAATGGATTGACACTTGTATCTCATCAGTTATGTTTTCTGTTCTTATGAATGGCTCTCCTGCGGTTTTTTTGCTAGCTCACGTGGTCTGCGACAAGGTGATCCATTATCTTCTTTTCTTTTTCTCATCGTTATGGAAGGTCTGACTAGATTAATGAGAAAAGCGGAAGATTTGGGTTACATTAGGGGGTTCAGAGTTGGCAGAGATGTTGATCATCAGATCCAGATTTCCCATCTTTTATTTGCTGATGATACTTTGGTATTTTGTGACACTGATATTTCTCAACTCAGATATCTGAGGTGCACTCTTGCTTGCTTCCAAGCAGTTTCTGGGCTTAAGATTAATGTCGGAAAGAGTGTGCTTGTTCCAGTGGGGGATGTTCCAGATATTTCCTCCTTAGCTGCTGTTTTAGGGTGCGGAGTTGGTTCTTTTCCTCTTCCTTATTTAGGATTGCCTTTGGGAGTTTCTTCTACTCTGGTTGGGAATTGGGATTCAGTGATTAATAGATATGAGAAAAGATTAGCAGGATGGAAAAAGCAGTATCTATCTAAGGGTGGGAAAGTCACACTTATAAAGAGTACTCTTTCATCCCTTCCTACCTATTTTTTATCTTTGTTTCAAATTCCATGTTCTGTTGCTGATAGAATTGAAAAAATTCAGAGGGATTTTCTGTGGGGTGGAAGGGGAGAGGAGTTTAAGTATCATCTTGTTAATTGGGATCAAGTTTGCCAACCATTGAGATTCGGAGGGTTAGGCATTCGAAAAATTGTTCCTTTTAATCGTGCTCTCTTAGGAAAGTGGTTATGGCGATTTGGAAGGGAACGACATCGTCAATGGAGAAGAGTTGTCTCGTGTCGTTTTGGTGAGGGGAGTGGGGGTTGGTCATCTCTTCCAGTCACTATTACGGGAGGCGTTGGTTTGTGGAAATTTATTCGGAAGGGATGGGATGTCTTCTCTACTCTTATTAGATTCAAAGTTCGTAATGGCAGGCATGTTCATTTTTGGGAGGATCTTTGGTGTAGCGACCAGTTGCTTTCTCACTCATTTCCTAGGCTTTATAGCATTGCAACTAATAAGCATGTTTTCATGATTGATTGTTATCATCTTGATAACAATGGAGTTACGTGGGATGTGCGGTTTATGCGGTCTTTTCAGGATTGGGAAATGGAGGAAGTCTCTGCTTTTTTGGATATTTTGTATAGGCAAGAGGATATTGGCAGAGGGTGTGATGATATTTTGTGGGTTCCTTTGGCTTATGGTCGGTATGATGTCCGCTCTATGTTTATTCATTTATCCAATTTCGTTGGTTCCGAGTTTCCTTGGAAGTCCGTGTGGTGCTCTAAAGCCCCTCTTCGAATCGCGTTCTTCGTTTGGACAGCTACATTGGGGAAGATTTTGACTTTGGACAATTTGAGAAAGAGAGGCAACATCATTGTTAATTGGTGTTGTTTATGCAAAGATGATAGTGAATCCGTGGATCACATTCTTTTGCATTGTCCTGTGGCGTTTGGTTGTTGGAGTTTTATTTTCAGCATATTCGGCATTTTTTGAGTAATGCCTAAGCACTCCTCTCAATTGATTAACGCTTGGAAAAGCTGTCCTGTTAAGAAACAAGCTCGTGCTTATTGGAAGATTGTTCCTCATTGTGTCTGGTGGTGTTTGTGGCGTGAGAGAAATAACAGATCCTTTGAAGGAAAAGAATCGTCCTTAGCTAATTTAAAAATTCATATTCTTCGTTCTTTATTCTTTTATGTTAGAGGAAGTACATGCTCCTCGATTGATGATTTCTTTGATCTCTTGGATTCTATTGGTCCTTAGATCTTTTCTCTTGTATTAGGGATGCGTTCCCCTTTTGAACGTTTTTCTAATATATTTTTACTTATCAAAAAAAAAAAAAATTCCTATATATATATTCATTTTCTTACCATGGAACTCCTGTTTATATGAGGAAGATTTGAATTGGTTTGCACAAAAGGATTATTACTCAGTGTGGTCCCTGTTGATCCCCATTAACAGATGGTTCTGGGAGGAGTGAGGTGGATACAGACCTAAAATTTGGTGTTATTTGCACAATGTGGCTACTTACAAAATTTATACTGCATTACATAATTGTTTACATGCATATAAACATCATACATATTTTCTATGTATATGCAAGTGTCATGGAACCAAAATTATTAAAATTGATACCCTCCCACTCCATACTCTAGTTACATGTAGAAAAACTATTGTAGCCCACTGAATTCAGCAGTAACTTTAAATATATCTACTATCTTCCTTAAAAAGACAAAATAGTAAATTACTCGTCATAGAATAAATAAAGTAGGTGAAATGATGGGTTAAGGAAAACCACAGTGCATGCTACAGAATACTTGAGTAAACCTAAAAATCAAGGATAAAGAATAATAAACCTGAAAGTGAAAGCTGGTGATGCAGCATCTGATCCGCCAAAATAATGGAACCATGACCTTTTGGAACTCCCCCATGTTAATTGCTTCCAGAATCTCTTCTAACTCACTCAGAAACATTACCTCCTTCTGGCTGTTTGTAATTGGCCAGTATTTCAACAATCCCATTATCACAGAGCTTGTTAACTTGGGCTCCTTCTCTAAAAACTGTGCAATACAATATGATAACTGTTGAAAGTAAATTCCCAAGGATTTTGGCTTGTGCAAAGGTACCAAAGCCTTCAACAAAAAGGTCTTGTGTTCCTCCTTTAAAGGAAATGCAAACCCAGGGATTACACTCCCAAAAACCTCCAACAACTCAGCAATTCCATTATGTCGATCGTTTTCAAACACAAAGCGATAAAAGATATTGCTTACGTTCCTCCGGATAAAACGCCTATGAACCATGAACTTTCCATAAATCCTATGCAGAATAGTTTTCAGACATTCTCTCTCTCTTGGATCCTCAGAATCAAATAGGTCAAGCAACCTCAAAATAAAGGAATGATTTATATATTTTTTCCCTACCTTTGCTTCTAGCGAATTAGAAGCTATAAAATTAAGCAGTAGATCATAAACGATTTGTAAATGGAACCATGCAGGATCAAATATTGGTTCATCGTCGTCATTTTCACTCCCACTAAGGTCCAATTTATACCTGGGAGGGAAATCCCTAAACAAATTACTAGCACACATTCTACACATTGCTAAAATGGCAGGTTCTGTAAATCTCGGGGGTCCAGAAGCAACAAATTGAGTAAGCTCTATCAATGTCACACGTTTAAGATCTTTCTCTACTGTATTCTTACTTAGGTCATTGAAGTCAAAAACCACACAGCAGAGACTCAACTTACTGATAAAGAGAGTCATCCTCTCTGAACTCGGAACATCTCTGAATGCTAAGAGAGGCTCAATTCCAGCAACAACACTCGCCGGAAACACTGCTGATGACATTTTTTTAACCGCATTGGGACGGCCCGGAACCATTGTACCGCTGCTTGTTCGTTGAATACCACCACCACGGAAAGAAGACGAATCATTGGGAGAACAATTTCTCGAATCAACGGACTCGGATTTCGACAACTTCCGAGGAAGTTTACTGAGAAATTGCTTCAACATGGCAATGCAATAGACCGACACAACGTAAACACTTAAATAAGAGCCATGGTGATAAAAGTTATAAACCTGAAAGAGCCAAAAAGAAACCCTAGACTTCTGTCATGGCTGATAGAAGCTCGAGATCTGGAATTACAGAATCGTTTGAATGAAGATCAGATCATGGAAATGCATGCTCTAGCATGATTCGGTCTACAAATGATGCATGTGAGAACGTTTAGAAAGAGAAAGATGAACAAATTCTAGTGCTTGATCGGCACAGTATTAGAAAAAGACATGGATGAATTAGAGAGACAAAAATCACAAAAATGATAGAAACTTCAAACGATGAATACAACATTGAATCTCAGATCAGTCCTGGATACCCTAGGGGAGAAAAAGAGTCATTATATAGATACTATGAGAGAGAAGAAATTGAGAAAAACTTCTTATGTTAAATAGAGAGCTGAAGCTGGAGAATCAAATCCTCAAATACCAAAGAGAAACAGAGCAAAAGATAAATATTTATATATACAATATATATATATAGATAGATAGAGAGAGAGAGGGAGGAGAAATTTCAAAAGCTAATTACAATTTACAAATCTGAAAATATGAAATCCGCATATATATATATATATAAGAGAGAGATGTGTAGATAGAGAAGGAAGGGGAGAGATGGACGTTACTGGGAGGTGTGGTGAAATGTTTGAAAGAGTTTTCTTCCTCATTCAAAGTAGGGTTTGCTTTATGTGATTTCAGAGCTGATTGGAAGATATTGTAACAACTTTACGATCTTCTTCTACGCCATTCCATTCCATCGTTTGATCTTTGTTTGTTTGTTTAACCAAAAGCTTCTTCTTTTCCTCGATCCATGAGACGTTTATGGCGTTTTCTGATAAATTGCAGGTATCTATCTGTGTCTGGTGTTTTTGTTCAAAACTCCCCCAACTTTCAAAGTTTCCTATTTTACTCCCCTAAACTTTTATTTTTAGTACAAAAACCCCCTGAACTATTTTAAAATGTTGCAAATCACCCACTACAAGATCTACTATATTGGAAATACAAGGCATGAGAAGGAATTCTTTTATGTATTTATTTATTTTTTATTATTATTATTTTTTTTATCATCTGAAAGGTACAAAAGCCAAGTCAAAGTCATGATACAAAAGCATAAGCCAAGCCCGATAAAAACATATAAATCGTGAAGTAAAGCAATAAAAATAAAGAACAGCTTCAGATTTGTTTAGAAAGAGCCACCGCTCTAGAACGAAAACCACCAAGAGAGAAGAGCAGCAACTAAAGTGACCAAAGGTCAGGATATCATCGAGGCAACAGTTCCAATACTGCATCCACAAGGCGCCTCCACACACCCAACCCCGCACAAGATCAAATCAAATAAGGGAAAATAAAATTCGACCCAGATCAGAGATCTAGCCGAAGGGAAAACAACAAATCCACCCTGTCAAGCCGGAAACAAACCAAACAAGAATAGATCTAGCCACATAAAACAAAAAACAACGTGAAAAACCACCCACAAGCGCGAACTTATTAAGACACGCCGAGGTTATTAACCTGCAAGAAGCAATAAATTGAACAATTTGAATGTATCTAAAATCTGCATTAATCTCATACATACGTGACGTCATCATACATCAGAGTGCCTGTTTAAAAGTTTATAATTAAAAATAAATAAACTATAAATCCACCCGGCAACTTCTAAAAAAACTAAACAATTAACTACAAGTCACGATATTAAATTCTACTACAATATTTACATTTTTTACAAAAGACGTTCCATTATTCTTTTCCCCATTCACACCCAATACTTTAGACCTGGCAGTAGCGACCCAACCTTATACCTGAAAATATAGATATGGAAGGAGTGAGCTTAAAACTCGGTGAATGCAACACTACTACATCAGAGTAATATAAACAAATATTGTCTGATAACTTCAATTTAACTTGATAACATATAACTTCCAGCTTTACAGGCATTAAAAATATAGTACTATCCTTTCAGACCAGAGTATGGACATTATATAGTATAATACTATTCTTATAGGCCATAGTATGGACCTTATTTAAATATAGTACTCACCTTCCCGGCTAGAGTATGGACCTTATTTAATATATATAAACATTTCCACATCAAATAAATATCTTCAATACTTCAACATACCCATTCAAGTATAAACTTCTAGTGAGTACACTCACCTTGGCTACTCCCCAATTTATTCACTTATCCTTTGATAGGGTCGAAGTTGTCAGCACATTTTCCTTGCCTATACAACATTATAACCATGTTATATTTATTCCAAAAAGATTAAACAATTAGTCATCAATTCAAACATAAATTTCAGCCTTGTTATTTAATTGTAATTAAAATTCTAATCACAACCACGTAGAATTAACTTCAGCATAGTAATTACAATCAAGTAAGAATTGTATTCCTTCATATAATTTAACGCTCAATTAGGAAAATAATGAAATAAATGGATTTTATTCAAGAACACCTTAATAAATAAATTATTGAAGAATTATATAATATAAACTTCCAATAAAAAATTAAAACTACAAAATTTTCTACCGCAGGACTGCAAACACGAATTTTACTAGTTTTCCTTATTTGTCTTATCTTCCTTCCATTATTTATACTTTCATTCCTTCTCTGCAAAACACCTACTTTCTGATTCCCTTTTTTATTTTATTTTTCCTCTCTCTTTCTTTCTTCCTCTCTTTCTAACGATTCCCCCCCCCCCCCCCCCCCCACATTATTTCACTGATATTTTTTTTATTAACTAGTATCAGTTTATATATGGTGACTGATAAGGCAGTTCTCAACTTAGATAATTCAATAGATGAATCAATCAAGTGAAATAATTCAAGATATATGTAATTTATGCAAAATCCCTAAACCAGATTATTCACGAAAGTTTTAAAAAATAAACACTACTTCAGAATTGAAACTATAAATTTCTTTACCTTAGGTTGAATCCAACAAAGATGGTAGAAAAATCCCTTTCCTTTTTCTTCCTTTTCCCTCTTTCTTTCCCACACAGCTTCACCTTCCTTCATCTGTGTTTCCCCTTTCAAAACTTTCTATATTTCTTTTCTTTTTCTTTTTTTCAACCCCAGCCGATTAAGGAAGTCACAAGGATAAACTTCAATATAATGTTATTTTATTTCTATGCCACATGTCATGTTCGGATGTGCTTACCAAGTTGTGCTGGAAACTAACCGCCATTTATTAATTTTATTCAATATATATATACGAGTACTACAGCCTTCCACTAAGTTTCCTAAAGAAACTTAAACTAACTTCTAACTAGTAATATATAATTACAAGTTGATCACAAAACTTTCCCTCTAACAAATTGCATCATCATTTGATAATAGAAATATTAAATATTAAAGCTTTTAACAAAATTCTAAATTCACCACCTAATCCTTCTGCATAAAATTCACTCACAGGTATGCATACTTTTTTTTACTATTACCAAACACAATATCTAATGGTATCAAACCCACCACCCAAACAAACCTTCATTACATACTCTCCCCCCACATCCACACATGCATGCCACTATTATTATATTATTATAATTTTTAAAACTACACTAAATAGACATTTTAAAAGCTTAATTCACATTAATAAGAGTATAATATAAAATAGAAAAATAATTAAGAATTCGGGATATGACACAAGGTCACCTCCCCACTCCCATGGAAGGGAGCATGGAGCAAAACTGAAGGAGACGAGCGGCTGAGAAAGAGGAAAGGGTAGAGAGAGAACAGAGGAAAAGTTAGAGGTGACTGTGATGCCCCTCGGATCCAAGACATGGGTTGATCAGGCCCAAGCCCAAACCCGAGGGAATATCAAACAATTAATATATAAACGAATACGGAATACAAAAATGAAATAAGACATAAATAATGAAGAGCTGAAAGAAATCTAAGTTTAAAAATCCTTGAATAGAATAAAATTAAAATCCAGAAATCCAATCATCCATAAAACCTCCAATAATTAAACAACTCGGGAATCCATCTTTAGTGGATCCCTAATAAAAATCCAAACTGAAATAAAACTACTAAAAGAACATCCAAAGTAAACCATAGAGAGAAGTCCTACGTCGTTGGAAGAGTGAGTGATAGTCTTTGCTCAGCACGATCAAGCCTACGACTGGAACTGTCGAACACTTGAAAAATAGAAGTGGGTCAGGCCCACGAACAAGTCTTATCCTACTGCAATCCAAGCAAAGACTCGATACGCATATTGTAACACCCCCACATTTTCCACGCATAAGTTGATCAGGCTTATACACGAAAAACGAGGGATATCAAAAACAATTGGCAATATACAAGCATGGAATACGAAATGATGATAATAAAAGAATTTAGACAGGAAATGAACACTAAATAATACAACATCTATCCATCCTTTATTTAATACAGTACCCCATTACAATTTCGAAATCCTATGTCAAGGATCCCTAAATATAACCATAAGAGTTCAACGTCAAAAGTAAATAAAAACTGAAACTGAAGTAATACATAAAACTTCTACCCTGAACTGGATCGTAAGAGTAGATGAGTTCGGATGGTGGTCCCTCACTGCTAACCTCAACCTTGGAACGGGTACTGACCATATCCTGAAATAACAACAATGGTGGGTCAACCCCACGAGCAAGTCCTCTCTACTATGACCCAAATCAGAGAATCAAATAAATTAATCATTATGAATCGGATGAGTACTATATCTGTATACATCCTAAGCGAACTATCCAATGTATAACATGACCTCAACCAGAATAGATGGTGATCACTTAGACTCACACTAGGTGGTTAAGTGTCGCCTTTCCCTACCCGGGAAACCAGCTATTATACATGGTGCACGGTACTGACAACACCGACTATAACGAACTACACAGTGATAACACCTCTCAAAGTACTGATGAATATACTGCGCATATAAATTAGGCAACACATGCCAATAATATTACTAAACATACTGAGCATGTCAATTAGGCAACACATGCCAATAATATTAAACCACATACCCCGACAGCCGCACATCTGTCTATAGCAACGAATGCATAAGGTATAAATGAGTCTAAACTTATTAGCCAGCTCACATGGTTCTATATGGCAACACATCCATGTAATATAAATGCGACATAATTTAAACAGTCCATTTATTCTCTGAAATGCACACCGCATAATACTCATGGTTGATATATGATTAACAGTATAAATATCCCATAATATCTAATGGCTAATTTATATGACGATAACCGTGACATTATTAACAGTACTACTGAATACCATTTAATAAAACAATAACAGCATCTATAATAATGTTGATAAATGAATCACCTTCATATCCGTACAGTAAACGTGCCATTTAAGGTTTAGAAATATTAATCGGCCATAAGAATAAGTAACGGGTAGTAAAATAATAATTTTGTGGCCCGTTAAACCCGTAAATACCAACACAGTACCTAAAAATCCAAGTTTAAGGTTCTGGAATTTACAAAACAGGCCCTAGGGGTATTCTGGTAATTTCCAGCAGCTGAAAGGGCCCTTCACGCGCCGCCCTAAGCTTCCCCACGCGCAGCCCAACCTTCCCCACTCTCCCACGCGCCTCCACGCGCGTCTGGCATCAGCCACGCGCGTACACGCACTCCCACGCGCGTGTTTAAGTCTCCTGCAGACATTGCACCTCCTGGTTGGTTGGCTGTATTGGCTTGCTGTGGGTGCGCTACACAGGATCACTTCATCTCATCTCACCTAATCCAAGGGTCAATGATCCGGGTGTACCGCGGTAACATGGACCGCGATGCACCGGATCAATCAGCTTCATCTAAGGCCCAGGATGCGCGCGCACACCCTCCTATGGTGCGTC